CCCCATATTCACCAGCAGTCATTCTTCCTTTCTCCACAACACTAAGCAGGCACTAATCTACTTGCCTCTGTGGATATGAATATGCATGTTCTGGACACTTCATGTAAATGGAATGATACAATATGTGGTCTGTTTTGACTGATTTATTTTACCTAGCATAGTCTTTTAAAGGCTTATCCATGTTGTTTCATGTATCAGCATGTCATTCCTTTTTTTTTTTAATATGGAGTCTCACTCTGTCACCCAGGCTGGAGTGCAGTGGTGTGACCTCGGCTTACTGCAATTTCTGCCTCCTGGGTTTAAATGATTCTCCTGTTTCATCTTCTTAAGTAGCTGGGATTACAGATGTGTGCCACCACACCCGGCTAATTTTTTGTATTTTTGTAGAGACGGGGTTTTGCCATGTTGGCCAGGCTGGTCTCAAACTCCTGACCTCAAGTGATCTGCCTGCCTTTGCCTCTCAAAGTGCTGGGATTACAGGTATGAGCTACTGCACCCTGCCCATTTCATCCCTTTTTATCGTCAAATAATTATTTCATTGCATGTTTATACCAAATTCTGTTTATCCATTCATCAGTAGATGGACATTTGAATTGTTTTCACTCTTTTCGCTATTATGAATAAATGCTGGTATAAATATTTATGTACATATTTCTGTGTATACATGTTTTCATTTTCATAGGAGTAGAATTGTTGGGTCATATGGTAACTCTATGCTTAACATTTTTCGGAATCGTCAGACTATTTTCCAAAGTGGTTCCATCATTATACATTCTCACCAGTTCATAACCATTTTAATGTCTATGCATACATATTTATTTGCTGCAAAATATTGCATTGTTTAGATATACCATGATTCAGTTAACTATTTTCTGCTGTCAGATTTTTAAGTATTTATGTTTGTGTCTAACAAGTTTAATGTCTTTGAAAGTCCATGATGTGGTGCTATTGAGTTGTAAAGCATGAACGTTTTTGAATCTCTCTTCTACCTCTTTCATTGCCCAACCCCTCTGCCTGACTACCCCACCATACACAATCTTTCACAGGTGCATATTGTTAGTAGCAGATATTCCACTTTCCCTAGCATTGACTGACTTTGCTCATTTAATAGGTTTTTAAACAGGTATAACACAGTTTTAAATTCCAGTCATTTTATTCCTAAATAGGCTGAATATATTTTTTCATATTTATCTTTGCGGTAATTTACTTTTGTGTGAATTTTCTGAAAACAAAAAACTATCACCTTCATTTTATAAATAAGGGTCACAAGCTTCAGAAGGGAAAAAGGGAAAGGAAATGAAGTTGTTGATCTTCCATCATGTTCTGGAACCTTGCTAGGTGCTTTGTATGTACCTTTTCACTTAATTTATCTCTGAAAGTAACCAATAGGTAAGATTAAACAAACACATATTGCCATAAAGTGGCAGAGTCATTTTTTAAAGTTTATTTTTACACATTAAAGAGGAGGGGAGGGTTTTATAACTTAGCCTTTCTTCCTCTGAAAATAATGGAGGCAGATGAAATTGCAGAAGTCATAAAAGAAAGGCTCCTCTTCCAAAAATAATGATTACATATATCCTTTTCACTAAAAAGCTATTTAGAGAGTCAATAGGGAAATATTTTCTATATCAACTTGGTTGTTAGAAGCCTATCAACAATATGTAGATTGTCAGCACTGTCTTTGTGGATTGATCTCACCAAATGGAAACTAGGAAAAGGAGCAGGCTTGCGAGGGTGTGTGGAGATGGAAATCAGAATCAACTCTGTGGATTTATTATAGTACTCAACTCCCTTGAGGCTTTTAGAGGAAAAGCAAACATGACTTTTCACTCAGTGTTCCTGAAGATTTCATTAAGAACATAGGAGTTCTTCAAGCTTTAAAATAGCAAAGAGATTCTTTGAACATGATTAAATCAATTCAAGTCAATACTCATGTGACAGGTTAATTCCCTGTTCTTATCTTACTTGACTTATCCGCTGCATCAACACAGTTGATCACCACCACAGCTCCTGATTTTATTCCTACATTTCTGACCATTCCGTTTCAGTCTCTTTTATTATCTCCGTAGTGATGATGTCAAGATTTGTAGCACCAGTTCAGACTTTCCTCCTGAATTTCAAGCCTGTATTTCCAGTACTTCTCCCTCTTTTCACTTGAATGTTTAATAGGCATCTCGAAGGTATTATGTACACAAATTAGCTCCTGAAATTATACCCACCCAAATTCTGTTCTTTCCAGTGTTCTTGGCCTTAGTAGTTTAACTTAATTCTCCCAGTTATTTGGGCTCTCAAACTACTTTATCATCCTTATTTCTTCTCTTTCTCTCACAGACATCCAATCTACCCACAAAATCTGTTGGTTTGACCCTCAAAACATATTTAGAATATAACCATTTTTACTCTACCCTTAGTCTAAACTATCATTATTTCTTTTTCTTTGGATTATTGCAGTGATGTCCTAACCAATCTCCCTGAAAAATTATCTGTGAAATTTATTTCTATACATTCAACAGGCACAATGAACTCTAGATAGAATAAATTCAGTGAGGTCCACATCAAGACACATTGTAATCAAACTGTTGAATGTCAAAGACAGACAATCTTGAAAGCAACAAGAAAGTAGCAACTATCATGTACAAGGGAATGTTAGTGAGATGAACAGTTGGCTATTTATCAGGAACTATGGAAGCCAGAAAACAGTGGACATATTTAAATTGCTGAAAGAAAAAATCTATCAACCAAGAATTCTATATCTGGCAAAATTGTCCTTCAAAAGTGAGGGAGAAATTAAGATATTCCCAAACAAACAAAAGCTGGGGGAGTTCACTGCAAGTAGACCTGCCCTGAAAGAAATGCTACAAGGTATCCTCAAGTTGAAATGAAAGGACACTAAATGGTAACTTGCAGCTGTATGAAGAAATAAAGATCTACAGTAAAGGTAACTAAAGGTAACTACATGGGCAAATATAAAAGCAAGTATTATTGTGTAATATAATGGAGAATGTATGTGGTCTCTCTGGTCTTTGTAGCTGGCTCCTGGCACAGAGCTTCAAAAGCCCTTGGAATTACCTGAGTGACAAGAGTATATCTTTTATGCTAATGAGGTGAATCTTTGTAGGCTCCTAGATAGCTTCAGAATGGGGACTGGTCACCGGAAAGATCAACCACATGATTAGATGATGGCAACATCTGGGAAGGGTATCTTTATGTTCTATATACAGGAATCCTCAAAGTCCAGGTGATGCTAGTTCTGTTGGTCACTGGACTGTATTTTGAGCAGCAAAGAAATAACATTTGTTAAAACTGGTCAGACCATATCACCTGAAGCGCTTATTAAAAATACTGTCCAGATTACCTGACCCTACTCTACATCTGCCAAATCAGAATTAATCAACTTCTCAGGAGGCTTTCATAATTCAATAAATTTGGGAAATGCTGAGGTAGGGCAGAGCTAAATGTGGCGCCTAAGAGATGAAGTGGTGAGTCATTGAAATACAGCCCAAAGGGGTGTGGACAGGAGCTGCTGGACATGCCCTTGGCTCTCACCTTCAAAGGGAAGTGAGTGGACTGTGTGAGTTCCCTCTTGTGATTATCTCAGGTCAGTATTTGCCTTTGTAATTGATGGAGAACTTTTTTTTTTTTTTTTTTTGAGACGGAGTCTCGCTCTGTTGCCCAGGCTGGAGTGCAGTGGCTGGATCTCAGCTCACTGCAAGCTCCGCCTCCCAGGTTTACACCATTCTCCTGCCTCAGCCTCCCGAGTAGCTGGGACTACAGGTGCCCGCCACCTCGCCCGGCTTTTGTATTTTTTAGTAGAGATGGGGTTTCACTGTGTTAGCCAGGATGGTCTCGATCTCCTGACCTCGTGATCCACCCGTCTCGGCCTCCCAAAGGATGGAGAACTTCTTAATTTCTCTTTCTAGTGCCTCTAGAGTGTTGACAGCTGTTTCCATGGACTTCAAATCAATCCAACCCTGTGAGCACAGGCTTTCAGCACCACAGAGTCAGATTTCCCAAAAATGCTATTCTTGAAGTGTAGAGCCAGACTCACAGGTCCTGTAAAGAAAACAGATCTTTGAGCAAGTGAAACTCCCAACCTTCCATTGCATGGGACTCACAGAGGTTCTGAGGGAGAGATGTGAATGGAAGGAGTGATTATCACTGTGGACTCTATTTCTTCCATCTGTGCATGCAAGATTTATGTCTGTATGTGTTTGTTTTAAAGTTTTATTGAGGTATAATTGATATACAATAATCTGTACCTATTTAATATATAAAATTGGATGAGTCTGGACATACATATACCTGGGAAACCATCACCACAATCAAGGTAATAGACATAGCCATCACCTCCAAAAGTTTGTGTCCCTTTGTGGTTTGTTTCTGAGATAAGAACACTTAACATGTGGACTCTTGACACTCTCCTTGGATCTCTTAATTTGATTGCTGTTGCTGTCACCACATTGATCTCCTAGGCCTGCTGATCCTCCTTTATCACTAGCTTTAGAAAAAAAACAAACCAAACACCACAAATTCATTTATTCAGTAATTCAACAAAAAAACCATCGAGCACTTAATATTTGCAGAATACATGGCTAGATGCAGAGGATTCAAAGAATTGAGTGAAGTCACATAAAGTGTTAAGAACAGTGTGTGATACAAACATGAAATATGTTAGCTGTTAGAATTTCAAACTCACTTCCATATCAATTATAATGAGGATTTCCATAAACAGCTATCAATTATAATAAGGATTTCCATAAACAGCAGAATAGTATTTCTATCAGATACTCGCAGATGCTAATAAAACAGTAGAATGGTTACAAACCATGTGTCCCCCAAGGCAAGAGAAGGTGAGCTATTTTGCCTCAGTGGCTCAATATTCCATCAATGGGTCCTGCTTTAAACTGCAAGTACTTACCTGCCTTCCTTCTTTCAACAGACTGACTCCAGGTTGCTTTAGGAAAGATTCATTGAAACAAAGGAATAAAACACCCAAGATATAGTGTTTTTAAAAACATTTTTTAATGAAGAAATAATTCCACTCCAAAATATAGACACACAATTAAATAGTTTAATCACTTCAAAATATAACATGTCCCCAGGAGGTTCCAACACACACACACATACACACAAAACAATACTTAACAGCAATACAAAAATCCATACAATAGTAGTTTTTTTTTTTTTACAATACCAATGAATATTGTGAAATCTTTAGTGTCTCTGAATTATTTCAAATGGTGTCAAATTGCAGTAGTCATAATTAAAAATGTCTTACAGTTAATTCGCCTCAAGATGTAACACTTCTGATTTTTTTTTTCTCTTTTTGGTTCAAAAGTAAAAATGCCCTTTCTTCTAAGGACAGTGGAGTTCTCACTTGTGGCTCCTGGTGTGGAATCGAACCAAGGTGAATGCAGCAACCAGAGGTTGCTGGATTTACAAGATCTATCTATAGTTAACAGCCAAGAACTAATAAGGGTGGACAAAGATGATCAAAATAAAAGCAGACATCAGTGCTAAATTATGATGCAACAGTTTGGCTCATGCATATAAGAAAATACATAGTATATCACAACAAAGGCCACACACTCTTAATGCAATTCAGTTCACATTACTACTTACAAATGAACCTTCCCTGCCTTATAGTAGATCATTCGAGAATCCATTTTTCACAATCTCCAGCACAACTCCCTCTGACCAACCAAACTTACCCCGACTTCCGTCCTGACCAACCACAACTGTTTCCTGAATCCCATGCAGTAGATTTCACCTTCCTCCCCTCCTCCATTAACATGGCGCTGTGGGGGAGGGTTGGCTGTGTTAGACCAGTGCTTATTAATAGGCTACCAGCTCTGATGGAGATGGATGTGCAATTCATTGTGGAACAAGAAAGAAACAACCCCCACAAGATGTAGTTGTATCTAATGGACACGACAAGTGAAACCTGCTGGGTTTGCACTTAGAACAGGCCCCAAAAGTAAATCTGGAGAGCCAAGGAAAGAAACCCACCAAACACCACAAAACCCCAAAATAACACACGCCATTTTGTCTCGGTTACAGGACAGGGGTGCTTGAGTCTGGTCTCAGTGCTGACGTGGAGCTAAGAGAAAGAAAAGGTGGCTGGTTAGTCAGAAATTGGTCATTGGCGGCAGTTTCCAGAGTCCTTGCAATGGCTTTATATGATGGTATCAACAACCATGTGATGGAGTTGGTTGGCAATGAAATAGCTATGACAACGGGGAAGGTTATCAGCAGAACAGTTCAAATCTTAGACAAACATTTTGATGTAGAAACACAAAGAAACAACATATGCCAGCTCGGTCCAGTCAGTGGTGGAGTGCCACGTGCAGGATTTAAGTTCTGAGTTCAAGAACTACCTGGCTATGATTTCGAGCTGACAGCATTATAGGTAGCTGGGATGTAGTGGTTTTCAGTACTGAGTATGAGGCACCAGTGGCCACCTGCTCCATCTAGAGAGGTATGGGTTCACAGAGGATGGGCAGTGGAAAAGAGATGAACATTAAGACACCCCAACAAAACCCGCAATAAAAATCAATCTGTGCAAAGAAATCTGAGAACTGTGCAGTTGTGCCACTTTGGTGTCAGCCTGTGCTCAGGGACATTTTTCAGGCGGGTTCTCTGGAGAGATGTATGATTAAGTACGTCAAGGGACAGGATGGGCCTCTCACTAATGCCAGTCGAGTGCTTTATCCCCAAGGCAAGTGATTTGGTTTCAAAGGGCAGCCAAGGAGATAATGTCTGACCAAACGCAGACATGTGAACATCGTACAGTCGCCCTCTGCAGAGGGGGCATGAAGGTGTCAGGACTCGGCTGGGCATCCACCAACTACGAACTTTTTATGTGGGTTTGGAGAAGGTGTTTGCCAGTCCCAGAAGCAAAAGTGAATCACAGAACCTTTCCTGCTTATTCTGAATAAGGCCTTTTCAGAGACTGTATTATACGAACTTCATTCTAAAGCAGTAGTTCTCAACCTTTAGCGAGCATCAGAATCACCTAGAGGGTTGATTAAAACAGATTTCTGGACCCACCCCCAGAGCTTCTGATTCAGTAGGCCTGAGGTGGACTTTAGAATTAGTATTTCGGAGACCTTCCTAAGTGTTGCAGATGCTGCTGGTCCGGGGGACACACTTTGAGAATTATTCTAAAATGTTCTCTCCTTTCTTTTAAAGGAGAGACAGGAATTCCAGAGAAACTGCTAATTTAAGCCTAATGTGTGGAATATGTCGCAGGCTTTTTAAAAAAATCAAATCTTGAAGCAATTAGATTACTTTTTCATTTTCCCCAGAATTCCCAAAGGAGGTCTTTAGGGCCCTCTAAAGAGGGTCCTTAGAAAAGACTATCCCAGTCTTTTATCCTCTTGTCTTTGATAGTTCGGTTGCACTTCAGCTTTTCACTGAGTGCAAAATCCCAACTCAACTTAGAAGAGCCTGTCTCCTTTCACATGACCACAGAAGGCTACATGCAGAACACCAGGTGGCCAGCTAAGGCAATCAACATTCAGAAAGAAAAGGAGAGCGAACGTTTGCAAGCGCACTTTAAGCCTGTACATTTAAAGCTGAAGGCCTCCAAACAACTTGATAGGGGAACTTGTGAACGAGCAGTGCTGTTAAAGACATGCTTCCTAAAGCCAAAACGAGAGGAACAAGACCATGGAAGAGCAGAGATAACTTTAGTCCGTTTGGGGGATCTTATGGCACCTGTGGTTTATAAACAGCTTTAGTAACGAGTATTTCAAAACATAGTTCACAGTTTTTAAGAAGATCTGTGCTGATTTTTAAAAACTAGATTCTATATAATTTGAATGTTGTCTTTTTTGAATATGGTATCTATTTGGAAAAAAATATTTACACTAAATTCTATGGCTGATTTGTTAGAGTATCTTGAAAGAAAACAACCCCAAGTTGGAAAGAGGCCCCAAAGAATAGATTATTCCTGGTGTGTTTGGTTCAAGTCACTGCTCACAGAGACTTGGAGTCAACTACAGACCGTGCAGGCCAAGGACCCTTCTTGGCTTCCAGGCTCTGAGTTTGTACACTCAGGAACCAAATTCTTCAGGGTTAGTGAATGATTGCAAGTGGTTGTTTTTTTCCAATTGCTGTGAAAAAAAATGTACAGTGTATAATAAACTGTTTTGCTAAAATCCAAACAATTCAGAAATCAAACGTCTAGCTATAAACAGTATTAATATTGTCATTGTAAACTGAACAGGTTCAATATCATGTGCAAAGGTTTAAAATGCTTGTTAATACTGCCATTGTGTATAACAGCAGCATGGGTTTTCAGCCTGTGTTTGTTTGCTTTTTAACCAGAGATGAACCATGTTACAGAGGATGTAGCTGATAAGTTAACTTTGAACAAAAGTCTTTTTTTTTTTCTTCTCGAAACACACACCTATGCACTAAAAATCTTAGAACAAAAAGTTAGCTGCACTATAGTCATCAGAACACATCTTTAGGGGTGGGGGGTTTGTCGGGAGCTGCTGGGTGTGGTGGCTCCTCTCTTCGGTGAGGCTGCTGCCAGGCTGCTGTCTTCCTCCTCTGTGTGGCCACAGGGCTCTCCATCATCACCAGTTTTCATGTTACTTTCATCATCTGTCTGACTATAGCTTGCCTGGGAATAAGGAATGTGTAATTTTTTTTAAAGATGCAAACTGTTTCTAAATTAGGGTTATGAAGCTTAGGATCCCCCCCTTTCCCCAATACAGAAGAAAGCACACATGCGTGCACACACACACACACACACACATATGCACACACACACTCCTTTCCTATGACAATCAGGAATTAATGTCCTAGGACACTGTGTGCTATTGCATCTTCTGGAAGAGAGGACAGGAAGTCCTCTATGTGCATCTCTTTCTTAGTGGGTACCAGAGGCGTCTGGAGGAGAAAAGCAACACAAACAGAAATATTTGTGCTGTCCTTTGGACAAAGAGATAAAACCAGTGACCCATCATTAGGATGCCACGTTGGTTTTTAAAAAATCTACTGTGGATGGTCCAATCCTCTATTTTCCATTAGGATGTGAGTGGCCAAGGAGAGTGGTGTACCATGTGGCCAGAGGATATAACAGGGACAAATTCAATACCTAAGTGGGCCAAAATTGAGTCTTGGAGGATGCTAAGCTGAGTGCCATTATGTATCCTGTTTCTTCAGAACTGGCTAGTTGAAAACCAATAAGCCAGGTTTTAAACTATTCACTCTTTTTAGTATTGTATGTTGATAAGTGCGTGCTTATTTTCAAATAGGTCTAAAGCTCTTTTTGAGCAGATGTTGCATCTTCTATGTCTCTGGCATCCACCTTCTGCCCCTTCCCCATGCAAGGCTCCCTCTGCCTTCGCGGATGGCTAATGTCAAGCTGATGAACTGGCTTCAGACCCTTGGATAAGAGATACATATACTTTGGGATAATTTCTGGTCTTACAGTATAGTCAGAAAGTCTAAACAGAAATATTTTAATAAAATAAACAAGTCTAAAATGTACCTGTACTTCTTGGTTACATTAAGAAAGAGTACAATAGGATAGAGCCAGCTGCAAAAATGAAAAGCCACTAGTTTTTATAACAATCTATCAGGTTTTAAATGAATTTGCCTATGTGGCTGATTGAATGACAGGCTGGTTCTTGTTCAGAGTTCTGTGGAATTCCAGCTAGATGGACTACAGGATGCAGTAAATGGCAAAGACTACAACTGTCTAATTTTTCACTGCTAAATTTGCAACAGAAGATTTAAAAAATGGCCTAGGAACTTCTAGTGTACTGACATTTTTGGCTTTTAGGTACCAAATGCTACTTTCTATCTGAGTTTAAGGCAAGTACATTTTATTAGACTTTCAAAAATATTTTTCTAAGAACTAGCTACTGATGTTTAAATAATGTGCAGAACAACAATGATCAAATTGCTGAAGCTAAGAGAAAGAAAATGCTATTAAAGGAAAAGGCCTGCCCCTTGGGACTAAGTTTGTTATAACTGGAGTGAATATTTTCAGAAACAGCTCCTGGGAATTTTTTCGTTCTAGTCAAGAGAGCATGTGGCGTGGCACTCTCAAATCCAAGAGAGGCAGAATAGAGAGTGGTCAACGAGCTCCTTCCTCACCGCTCATAAAGTATATAATATGATCATAGCAATTACTCCGTGATTTTCACTTGCTTAATTTTAACCTGAGGACTGAGACAGGATGTCAGTAGCATTTGCACTAGCATGTATTCTTTCTTAATTAGTATGTCATTTAACAGATATTTGTTCCTTTTTCAAATTATTAATAGCAACCAGCATTGATAGCATTACTGTCCACTGCACCATAGACTTATGGGATTCCATGGTTGGGAAAGCTCAAATGTTTGGGCCAGTGCAGTCAGAATCCTTTGAGAGGTATATTTGCTTTGAACTATCATGGGGGTATCTAATTGGCTATTAACTGGAGCCAGAGAAAAAAATCTAGACTTATGAAACAGTGTGGCCCACAGTGTGCCAAGTCATCACATGTAGCTGCGTCCTAGCCTTGTTTATAAAAGTAGAAGAGAGAGAAAGCCAGTTCTGGGTCTCAGTGTTTCCCGTACACTTAGGTAAACACTATGGCAGCTGCCAGGTGTTGAAGTGCTATAAAGCACTGAACATAGAGGCAGGCATACATGTGAATGTTCATAATAAATGATAATGTGCCTTGCACTATGCCAAGCTCTTTAAAAACTATATCCCAGTGAGTAGGATGTGGTTTTTAATATGGGCCTCTTCTGTGGCGATACATAATACCAGCCTCTTCTGTGAGGCTATTATGCAATATGTTGTATAGAGGAAACTGAGGCTAATACAGGTTTAATAATTTGCCCAAAGTTTTGCTGCTAGGATTTGGTGAAATCCATATTTGAAATGGGTCTATTAGAGTCTGGCGCCTAAGGTTCAGACCTCTACAGTCAAGTGATTCTGCCAGTCCAGTGCTAATCTCTCTGCATTAAAAAATTACTGAGGATTCTCCACATATTTAGGCAGGGCTTTGGAGTGGTTTCACATGCCGTGAAAATAATATTTTAAGTTAATTTATATACTGCTGAATTCCACAATGGATTTGAATCAGGTATTCCAAAAACATACGGCTGCAGAACTTTTCCTCTGTTTGGGCTCTTTTGTTCTTTTTAATAATGCATGGTTCTTCTTTCACTCATTGAGACACACACATTTGATCTCTTGAGCCCTAGGTGTAGTATGACTAGTAAGTTGGCCCATCTCTAGAGGTACTGACTTTTCCTTTTCAAGTGCTAGAGTGGCTACAAACTCTGATATTGTCATGGATTGGTGATGTGACAAACTTATTGGTAAGTTTCATAGCCACAGAGGATTACTGGAACATCTCTAGGTTTGGAAGTTTTGTGCCAATTTTCCCAGCTAATAGAGTAAGAAGTCAACGCCCAAGGATGTCTGGCAAATCTCCACTAGTTTATCATGAAACACTCCATAGACTGAGATGATTCTTTGATATCAGCAGGGAAGGAGGATATTGTATCACATAGAAAGAAATGACTAAGAGAAGTGATTGTGAATTTACACTACAAGTTATCAGAATTGAGTGTACAGTGGCCATATTTCCTCCTAAATAAGACGGTACTTACTTGAGAGGAGTGTGATAAAAGGATATTGCATTCAACCTTGCAAGCTGACCTGTGGGTGACAAAGGACACAAACGAGAAAGGTGACACGTCAAGTCTGTGATGCAGTCAAGCTGGTGAATTATTTGGCAGGAAGCCATGCACAAAGACACAAAGAGAGAGAGTCTATTGAATGAGAGTAGCATTCCAATCCATCCAACAACCATATGCTCACAGAGCATTCAAGGAAAACCACTTTGACATCCTCCAGGGCATATGTTTTCAGTGGAGATACACAGGCCTGTTACATTCTCCCAGCCTCTTCCCTGTCCTTTTCTTAGAAGTCATGAGGCATGGAAAAGAAAGGAGAGGGAGAGGGAGCTTAATATTTACGAGCGATGGTAAAACCTCCAGTTGAATCTTAAGTCATTAGTAGAAATTCCCTTCATTTTACACACAGAAGGTTACATTTTTAATTCATTCAAGTGAATAAAAATCTAATATTTTATATGGAATAGTGTAAGCCTGCCTCCCTTAAAGAAAAAAAAAACCCTAGAATTTCAGTTACTGCTGCCACTGAAATACAGAAAGTGACGTGAGCTCAAAGAGGGAGGCCTAATAGACGCTTCTGATAGCATGAACCAGAACACTTAGTCACATTTTTTTTCTTTCTTTCTACACAGCAGAGCCTAATGAGTTATGTGTAGGAATGCCATCCCTCAGAGTTCCCAGAGATGCCCTGGCAGTTTCATTGCAGGCTGGTTTCCTTCTGTGGAGGAGCCACAGAAGGCGCAAGGAAAACTGCACTCTCCACGGGTTTGCAATCAGACAACTTTGTTTCTGAAGCGTGGGAGCCTGGCTCTACATACATAGTCACTTCTGTTTTTCTTTTCCCCTCTTTCTTTGGTATGGCTAGACCAACATTTTAGTTGCTTCTGAAATGTGGTTGTTAAACTGAAAAAGCAAATGGAACATTCCAAAGAGGCAAAACTTTGTTTTTATATTGCTGGGATGGAATTGGTGGGCTTCCGTTTCTCTCCTGCTACAATCTTCTTGGAAAAATATTTCAAGGCTTTATCTATAGACATATGAGAAATAGGAGATAATTTATTCTTTCTGCTTTTCTCTCTCTTTTTTTTTTCAATAACAAAGTAAGAGAGGGCACTGCTGCCCTAATAATATGCAGAAAGGCTGGATATGGTGGCTTATGCGTGTAATCCCAACACTTTGGGAGGCCGGGGTGGGAGGATTGCTTGAGACCAGAAGTTCAATACCAGCTTGAACAATATGGTGGACCCTGTCTCCACAACAAATAAAAACATTAGCCAGGTGTGGTGGTGTGCACCTGTAGTCCCAGCTACAGGAGGCTGAGGTGGGAGGACCGCTTGTGCTCAGGAGTTCAAGGCTGCAGTAAGCTATGATCGTGCAACTGCACTCCAGCCTGGGCAACAGAATGAGACCCTGTCTCAAAAAGAAAAAACAAAACAAAAACAAAACAAAACAAAACAAAGAAACAAAAAGCAAAAGAATGTGCAGAAAACTTGTCTGGCCATTCGACAGAAAGTCTGACAGGATAAAATAACCAATGAGGCCCAGGAAAAAGCTGGTCTCAACCAGGCAAACATCCCTGAAATACCAGAACCCCAAGCAAACGCCTGTGAATTAAAGGGAAAAGGAACACATGAGGAAGACAAACAAGGCAATAGAACGATCTCCACGGGGAAATGCGTGGCCTTTAGGATGAGTCGCTGGTTCCATTTATTCCCAATTGTATATGTCATGTTCAGTGAATTTTCAGGTGGCTAACATACTCCAGTACATCTGAAAATCTGTCCGTCCACACCTTGCTGAACACAGGCCTGCAGTTCCCCCAACATTTCTCCATGAGGTTTGCCATTCTCCTACTTACACTTGGCATGAGGTGGGCAATGAGGAAGGCTGAGGGCAAATAATTCAAGGGAGGTGATGGGTTTATGATTATTCAATTTTCTTGTGCCCTGCTCTTTGCATCCATTTAAAAATAATTATGAGAAAAAGCATCTTTCTTAATGGGCCTGAAAGAGTTTGGACTGTTAGTTACCATGTTATTTTCCAATATAAGAAGGCCACTTATCACTTTCTATGGCGGAATTTAAAAGAATACATGGTGAGTGACAGTTATAAGAAGTGGGTGCAGTGGCTCACACTTGTAATCCCAGCACTTTGGGAGGCTGAGGTGGGCGGATCACGAGGTCAGGAGTTCGAGACCAGTCTGGCCAATATGGTGAAACCTCGTCTCTACTAAAAAATACAGAAATTAGCTGGGCGTAGTGATGCACACCTGTAGTCCCAGCAACTGGGGAGGCTGAGGCAGGAGAATTGCTTAAACCAGGGAGGCAGAGGTTGCAGTGAGCCAAGATCACACCACTGCACTCCAGCCTGGGTGACAGAGAGAAACTCTGTCTCAAAAAAAAAAAAAAAAGAAGCATTTAATATTTGTACTGTCTAGAAGACATGGATTAAGGAGTAAAATCAGCATATTTTGGAAAGGGAGGGTGGAAGGAAGGAGAAGGCCCTGATTCTGCAAGTCATGTCAAAGACCCAGCTACCAAGGGGTTGAGGCAGAAGAGGTGGGGTGGGTGGGCCTGGATCCCAGTACCTGATAGGCTTCATCCTGCAGCTTCTGTTTCAGGTATTCCTCCATCTTGAGCTCATTCTCCAGCTGCCGGACAGAGTCATTTTCATAGTTTTCATCCTCAGGCCGCACATAGGGATCTGCATCCTCCGTAACCCTGAGAATAAACCACAGATGACATTTTAGAGTGAATCTTAAAAGAGAATTACAAGTGGGATTCGTGTGTGAGCTGTAGTTTATTGGCACCTTTATTTCTCCTTAGTTCTCCAAGTCACTTTCATGTCTTCTTTAGTAATACCTAAAGAAAAACTTGGAAACATTTTGGAAGTTGGAAGCAATATATGATCAAGGTATTTTCATACACAATTTTTTTATGGCAGTTGTGGTCATAGGTCATCTCTCTTTTTCCTAGGGTTTACTGAAATGGGTTGGCCCTTTAAATGTTCTGTATTTTTAAAAATGGCAAACATCTTTTGAGGGGATACAAAGTTTTCCCAATCTGAGGGCTCTTTTTATTCTTCTTCAAAATAGAACCCAAGATCACTTTCTGTATGGAGAGTGAGCCCTCTAGTGAAGTAATGCTTAAGGACATTTGGTTTTAATTTAGTCTCTTTTGTGTTACCCACACATGCACATACACATATGAATGCACACCACATTCATGCCTTATTTTTACAGAATTAAGTCTAAGAATATCAGCCAGTCGATGCCAGGAGGGCTACTAACCCATAACTCTTTTTTTTTTTTTTTTGAGACGGAGTCTCGCTCTGTCGCCCAGGCTGGAGTGCAGTGGCCGGATCTCAGCTCACTGCAAGCTCCGCCTCCCGGGTTCACGCCATTCTCCGGCCTCAGCCTCCCGAGTAGCTGGGACTACAGGCGCCCGCCACCTCGCCCGGCTAGTTTTTTGTATTTCTTAATAGAGACGGGGTTTCACCGTGTTAGCCAGGATGGTCTCGATCTCCTGACCTTGTGATCCGCCTGTCTCGGCCTCCCAAAGTGCTGGGATTACAGGCTTGAGCCACCATGCCCGGCCACCCATAACTCTTGATCTTAGCTCTAAATATGAAAAAAAAAAAGCATTTTAATTATCCAATTCCACGCTGAAATAAATAGTTAAAAATGACTTCATTCCCTGATGTGGGACTCTGTCTCCATCTCTTCATCTTAGACTATGCAAAGCTCTTCATGGGGCTGGACGTAAGCTTGCTACCTAAATCAGGGGACTAAAAGATTCTCAGGGTAAGACACAAGGACATGTTTAGACAATAGAGATATTAAATTATTCCCTAAAATGAAATAAGTGGTCAAGAAGAAGTTTCTAGGCTGGAACTTGAACGTCGTTGTTCATGTTTATTTATAGCTGTACAGCTTGTTCTGGTTATTTTTGGAGGTTTGGGGCCAGCCTAAATGGGTCTGCCTAGGCCTCTGTTAACTTTCCTTCCCTAACTCCTGAGTCACATGTTGGTAGCTGGTACTGCCACTCAGCGTACCAGGGCTAGCAGATTAGGGTGGCCCCAACAGCCTTGGCCTTTAGAATTGGGACAAGGAAATTCTAGCTAACTGCCATATAAATGCTTAATAATAAAAAGTCAAATAGATATGCATTTACCAGACAAAACAGATGACAACTAATTCACTCTTTTGAATAACAAATCCAACAATTCTAGAATACAGAAGAAAGGACAAGAAAGCAAACTCTATTCAGCAGCAGCGTACTGCCATGTTAAGTCCCATTATAATGGTTTTGTTTTGATCCTAGTCTCTGCTGCTTCACAGCTGACTCTCAGACCACAGCTCTTGATAATTCTCCATGATTACTGATCGTTTATTCACTGCTGGGATTGGGAGCCAGACACCAGAAAGGCCTCAGGTTAGTTTCTTCTCTGAGTCTTTAACATGGCCAGTTTATTTTTATACACTAGTCTGAAGTACTTTTCGTGTTAAGCAACACCACCCTTCTGTAGTAATTTTAGCGTTCAGACGCTCCCTCCCCCAGCTTTTGCCCACGTTTCCCGTAACTCCATGAACCATGGTCTCCTAATGGGCCACTTTCTTCCCTTCTTTTGTTTTCCTCCTTTCCCTCCCAAGTTGGGCTCTGCAGCTCTGTCCCAGCTTTGCCTTTGTTTCTCAGCTTTGGTTTTCTCTGCTGACTACTTTGAGCTGATCCAGGGTCACAGAAAGTCTAGTGGTCACAAGACGTCACTGATGCTGCTGGTTTCTGACAAGCTCCAGAACTGGGTGGAAACTTTCGCAAATAAGTCTTTAGAGGGTCAGATGTATACATATTCAACAAGTCAACCAAACTGGATTTCTTTATAATGAGATTTTATACATGTACTTATTTCAATTCCAAATACTTATATGATGTTGTTTACACCAATTCTGAACAGAGACCTCTCCAATGTCATGGTATCCTCTAAGTGCAAATACAATAAGTTCAGAAGATAGGATAATTTATCTCCTGAAGTAGTCTGAGTCCTAAAAGGGTGGCAGCAGTTTTTTAATACTATTTTGTATAGAACTAGCACTGGGCCTTGGGCAAGGCAGGCTCTTGATAGGCACTGGTTGGTTTAGGTTATTGATAACTCTCTGGAAATTGTAAGAGGGGAGATATTACAATGCCGAATTTAAATGTAGCACCATTCTGTATCTCTGGCAGAAAAGAAAACTATGTCACCCCTTTTGAAGGTTAAAAAAAACCCCTAAACAATTATGCTTTCACTTTCTTATTGCCTCCTACGGATTGTTTTGTTACTGAGAAAATGCCTCCAAGCGGAAGATACTCACATGTCGCCACGCATGGTACTTGTGGTCGCTCCACTGTGAATATACCCAGGTTTTCGAGCATGGATTTGCGCTAGAAAAGCCTTTTCAGAGGTTGGTGAGGGAACAAGATCCTCAAACTGAGTCCGTGCAAATTCAGAATCCACATTACTCTCTGTTTCACTCCCAACCTCTAGCAGATACAATTGAAGAAATAAAGAGTGACTTGTTAGATTTTTTATGACCTGCAAATAAGGGAGTAGGCTTAACAAATCAACCTGTGCTGTGTAAAATGTTAACCAGTTATCTATCATATTTTAATCAAGTACATTTTAATTTTTTCAAAATACAAATTGATATTGACATGAATTACTATAAAATCAGTTGGTATACAGCATTTTTTAAATCTCAGAAATGTTATGAGGAATTTTTGCCATCTTAGTAACTGACTTAACTTTTTAAAACTTCTAGTTTTTCCCTTCTGTAAGAGTCTTAACTAAAATTGTTACTTTCGCTTAATATCACACTAATTTAAGAAATATGAGTTAAAACCTACACCTAACCATAAAGTATTCACCTAAAATGCCTCAAATATGAACTTAAAGTATGAAGTGGACCCTATCACTTCATACTTTAAAGAATTATGAGTATAAACTAACAGTACTTAAGACTTCTACACCAAGGATAACTTCGTACTCATCATTTGCTAGGGGCGTGGCTACCTGCCATTAATCATGATGTATTAACTACTATCATTTAATTCTGTTTGGTAATCTTAATTTATATTAGCAGCAACAATTTTCAATTGAGAGGCTTTAAGAAAGTTCAGTCCAGGATTTTTTTAATACTGAAGTTTTATTTCTTACAGCTATTGTAATCTCAACCATAAGACCATAGTCTTGCCAGACAAATCTCTTGCTAGGTCGGCCTTAAGGAATAGACGGAGATACATTAGTAACTGGTAGGATATTGATTTGCATATTCATACCGCTAAAGTTTTGAACACTCTTTGTAGTATTAGGAGGATAAAAAGTCTCCTTAAATCTTTTATGCTACTTATTTCTGGGCAGATCTATCTTCAGAGATATTGCAAAGGTAAATTTCAATTTGAAATTCAAATTCAAATGATCAGGCGTTCTAAATTAATGAAACCTAAATAGATAAGGGCAGGAAATCCCAGCACTTTGGGAGGCTGAAGCAGGATGATCATTTGAGCCCAGGAATTCAAGACCAGCAAGACCCCATCTCAAAACATAAATAAATAAATAAATAAATAAATAAATAAAACATTTGACCCTATAAAATAACTTTAGCATCATGTTGTTTTAGGTCACCTTAGATGTGAACAGTGGCTGTCTTTGGATTCCAGAATTATAGGTCAGTTTGAATATTTTTCGTTGTTCTTTTCTGCCTTTTTCAAACTTTCTACATTGAGTATGTATTCATAGTCTTTTAATAAGCAAAATATAAACATTACTTTAAAAATCTGAATAGGCCAGGCATAGTGGCTCACACACTTTGGGAGGAAAAGGCAGGAGGATCACTTGAGGCCAGGAGTTTGAGACCAGCCTGGGAAACATAGCAAAGACTCTGTCTCTATGAAAACAAACAAACAACATTAGCCCGGTGTGCTGGTATGTGCTTGTAGTCCCAGCTACTAGGGAGACTCAGGTGGGAGGACTGCTTGAGCCCAAGTGTTTGACATGCCAGTGAGCTATGATGGTGCCACTGCACTTCAGCCTGGCAACACAGAGAGACGCTGTCTCAAAAAACAAAACAAAAATTAAAAAAAAAAAAAACAAACAACCCTCAAATCTGAATGGACCAACAAAATACCACGGACAGCTTTAAACAATCTTTTGATATTAGACAATGAGCAGATCTCTAGGAGAGGCCCCTAGCACTTACGGACCCCTCCATGATGAGCAGACAAATGAAAGGGAATCAGGAGCTCACCAGAATTCAGCTCTTTCACAAGAGAGGACATGGTGTTAGTGATGGAATCCGCAGCCACTAGCAAGTCATTCCTTAAATTTCTTCTTGAACCTTCAGGGAAGAAGAAATAATTTAAAAAACCAAAGCCTTCCTTTTATCCTAAATTTTTATGTTGTTTGTTTATCTTTCCCATTAATAACCTAAAGCAAGAAAACTTCTAAGACTTCTCCTTTTCAGAAGTGCTTTGGTTCATTTCCTGAAAAAACAACAACAGCAACAAAACACCGCTTAGGGCAGTGGGTCCTGCGGTAAGAAGACATGGCTAATGATGGAGCTTCATATATTATTTGTCCAAGTGGGGACAATTTTGAAAGTGAAAGAGAGCAGTATGAATCAGACTGGCTGACCTGGCAAAACTGGGATGGTCCCAGGTACACCAGTGTGTGTGGTCACCCTTCTTAAGAGTAATCCTGGCTGGGCGTGGTGGCTCATGCCTGTAATCCCAGCACTTTGGGAGGCCGAGGTGGGCGGATCATGAGGTCAGGAGATCGAGACCATTCTGGCTAACACGGTGAAACCCCGACTCTACTAAAAATACAAAAAAATTAGCTGGGCATGGTGGCGGGTGCCTGTAGTCCCAGCTACTCGGGAGGCTGAGGCAGGAGAATGGTGTGAACCCCGGGAGGCGGCACTTGCAGTAAGCCGAGATTGCTCCACTGCACTCCAGCCTGGGCAACAGAGCAAGACTCTGTCTCAAAAAAAAAAAAAAAAAAAAAAGAAAGAAAGAATAATCCACACAGATGAAAAGTCAGGTTTGCCAGAAGAGCTGTGCCTTCCTAGCTGCTATTATTGTTCTTGCCCTTACCTGGTGGCTGAGCACTTTTGATTCTGGTCTCTGCTAGGACATGTGCTGTCTCCTATCAGGGCTTCCAGAGCTCTTCCTGCCAGTATAAGTACCACTTGGGAATGGGAAACCCACATGCACTGAATGCCCCCAGAGTGTGAGAAAGGGGTGAGGATTCTTGTTTCTTCTGCCAAGACATGGGCAGATGCATGTCTGATACTAAGAATTGGAACTTGGACTATGTTTCTTAATGGCAGAGAATGATTATTATTTTGTTTCAGGCACACTAAGGTTTAAATGGATGCTTGTGATCCAGCCTGGGAGTAGGGAAAGTAAAGAGAGATAATTACCATAACATCTTTGAGAAAAAAATGGTTCAAGATTCCAAATACCTAACTTACAAATGAACTTAGGTGGCATGAACTCTTTATAAGTTAAAGGCTGCCTACAGGCCACATTTCATTCTGTCGTTTTTCAGAAAGTAATACTAACTAAATAAAATAATAAATATGTTTAAATTTAAAAAATCACAGTAGTTAAGTAAAACATTTATTATAATGGAAATCACAAATTGATTTAAAATATGGTAAATTTCTTTAAAATATGATTTAGAGAAGGGATATTTTTCTTTCTAAAAATTAAAATAAAAAAGTTATTTTGTGAATTACATTTTTAAAAACTCTTGAGTTATGTTCAGTGCCTAGAAGAAAAAGTTCTAATATAGATCCTTCCTTTTCCCTCATAAGAGAGTACAGAGTTCATCATTGTCTCTCACTGAAGTGTGTTACGATTTTATCACCCCTCCACATGGATGAGAGTACCTGTTTCCTCGCACTCTTGCTATCCCTGGATATTATGATGTTTCAAAACACTTTTTTCATCTTCTAGGCAAAAAGCGATACTTATTAAAATTTATATTTCTGCAATTATATCAGAGGTTGAACATCTTTTCATATATTTATTGGCAATTTCTCTTTGTTCTTCTGTCTGTCCGTATCTTTCACCTGTTTTTGTTTTGGTGGTGTCTTTTCTTTCTGATCTCTACGTGATTTTTGTGAAATTATGAAACTTGATTGACACATATGCTGGAAATGGTTTCCTCAAGACTGTTTTCTGTCTTTTAACTTTGTTTGTGATCTCCTTTGCCTTAAAACTCATAGTCAAACATGTCTCTCTTTTCCTTAGATCTCTATGTGAAGACTTTGAAGAATGTGCATGATAGATTGCTAATTTAAAGAAAATGCAAACTGCAGACCCCAGAATGCAATGCATGATCCTATTTGTGTGAAAAAAACCAGAAAAGAGTATGTGCCTATAATCACATCCTTAAACATATCTATTTACACATAAGCAAAACTTTGGGAAGGATCAAATTGTTAGTAGTGGTTACTTCTGGGAATGAAAGCTGCCGGGTGAAGATCTACAGAATGATTTTTTTTTTCTTATTCTCTACAAATTTAAAAAGTGATAATAAGAAGAGGTTTTAAAAAGTGTTAAAAATATTTCTAAATTAATACAGTCACTCTCCCTGTCGTGGGAAAGTGCTGGCTGGCATCCCCATCCCTCTTTGTACTCCTCTAACTGCAGAGGCCTAACCCTGTAGCTCTACCTTACAGAAGCAATGGTTCAGCTCTTTGGGGAATCTGAACAGGGAATCTGTCAAATGACTACATGTCCTTCTTGCTTACCTCATTGCTAAAGAGCTATGATTACTTATCTCAGTCTTGACTTTAATATAAAGAAAAGACAATATGAGATAAAATCTCTAAGAATTAAAAAAAAAATGGATTACATTTATGAAGTTTTCTGGGGGTCCTGGTGAAAAGATTTCCTGTCTTTTGATGAACAAAGACTTACTAAAAAATAAGACAGGGGAACAAAAGCCAAAGGAAGGTAAAATGGTGAATTGAGAACAAATCGGGGTAGGGAGTTCCCAAAACGGCTGGCAGGCCCGGCTCTGACACCAGCCATGAAAGACTCTTCAATATGAAGTCACATGTTGCTCTGACAACTTTTGACCACTCAACAGACCTTGGTGACCTATTTGTCACATAAAAGCAGACCACAACAAAAAATAAAGCCACTTACTTTGTGCAAATGCCTCCTGTACATCTCCCCCTACCCCTGTGAGGGAGTCCTGCGGCGTGTGCGTCGGGGTGGAGCAGGCTGACGCTGACCGGACGGGCATGGGAATTGGCCTGCTGATGGTGTGGCTGGGGGAGGAGCGGGGAGAGCCAGCCCCCTGAGTCTGGAGAGACAATGCGAGTCATTAATTTGCTTTCCCAAGAAAATGTCATGTATCATCCCCACTGCCTCAGTTGATGGTTGAAAACAGTGACAATGAAATTTCAAAGCAGGAGGAAATCCTAGGTAATTGAGTTGGTAATCCTAAAGCTAATTTGCAGGTGCAGATAATTTAGGATCTTCTATGTAATCTGAAGTTTGGGTTAAATATTGAAAGCCAAAAATAATAGTAGAGCATTGCTCTACAGTATATGAGACGTGTGCCCATAAAATGAAGGTACTGTTAAATGCAGATAATTACAAGGTGTGGATACTTTCTCCTTGAAGGAGAAGGTCTCCCAGGAATAAGAAGACATTAAGGAGAAAGTTTAAAATAGAAACTAGAAGACTATTTGCAATGGATGCTTTCTAAATTTTCAACCTGACTATACTAGCATCATCTTTAGAGGATAAGAGTTTAAATCATGTCATACAATATTGTGCATATTAAGTCTCAAATTAAGAATCAAATGAAGTGTAAATTGTTTTCTCTCTATTTTACAGTAAAAGCTGATTTTGTCAAATTAGTGACTCAGGAATTCCAATGGGGAAGAAGAAGAAGAAACCTTGTTTTCTAATTTTTTGGTATTATTTCCTGCAGGAAATGTCCTTCTCTTCTCCTACGAAAAAGCAGTATTCTATCAGGACAATAAGAATAGTAGGATTTAAAGACGAGTAAAGAAAAAAGTAGAAAACAACTAAAGGAACTTATCTTTGCACTACAGTTTTTGGCATGAAACTATTCTGAGACTGTCACACCTCGAATCTTAAGGATTTGTCTCTAAATGAGGTGCCTTGTAAATATTCTCCCTGTTTTAATAATTAGTTGATAAAAGAAGTCAGTCACATGCGTAAGAAAATGCAAAGAGACCCTTGAGTGCATACACAACAGATTAGGTGTTCACATCAATTCCATCCCAATCTGTTTGCTATGGTTGCTAGAGTGAGAATTCTTCTCCAGCAAGGCCCAGAGAGTCATCATTAACCCATTCAAACTCCCAGACCAGAGCAATGCTCTGGAATATTCCATTTAGATATTTGCTTTGGGTTCAGTGGCTTGTGGTTAAAACACACCACATCAATCCTGAAAAAATGCCATGCTGTTAGCTCCAGGGCTCAGCATCACACATAATTGTTAAAGCCATAAACTGAGAAAAATCCAGAATTAAAAATGAAGCAAAACAGAACAGAGCACAGAAAATATCTCATGGGGTGCCCAATGGGCTGAGTGTCCCATTCTTTCACTCTCAACAGTACCTTGTAATGGTCTGTCCAGGCCCAAGGAAGAGAACTTTGCCCAGTTGTGATGCTTTTGCAGCCTGCTTCCCTCGGCCTGCTCAAGGAGGGGTCTGGTTTTCCCCAGAAAACTCTGGCAGCTCAGCCCCATTACCTTGAAACCTTCTGCTTCTGAGCTACCACGACATCCTTGACCTTCCCATGCCAATAATAAATAATTTCACATTTGCGTTAAGCTTTATGATGTTCAAAGGGTTTTCACATACACTCTCACTGATTTCTCTCCATGCATTCTCACTCTGAATGTGAAGTTGTGGAGCCCAGTACTCAGAGAGGTGAAAATAATTGCTTCATCAGGAGACAGAGCCAGAGCAGCAGGGCTGGGGCTGAGCCCAGGGGCTCTGAGTGCCCTGGGCTGCGGGAGCCTTGATGGCCATGGCTGGCAAAAAGTCCCTCAATGAAGACAGATGCTGATGAAGTGCCCTGAGCTCTTCCTACTTTGGCAATTCCTCTTGTACATCCTTTTCGAGGCAGGGCCCTTAGCAGGGCTCCTGAGCCTTTTGTCTCTGTCCTCTTTATTAAGGGACCAATAATCACAGCTGGGAGTGGGGACTAGAGAAGGGAAATTGGACGGAGTGATTATTAAGAAGTAGGATTCTCTTGGCTATCAGTGTGGGTTACATTCTCATCCCTGGGAACCCAGATTGTCTTCCATGGTGGGAAGTTCACAATAATAATACAACTCCACTTTTGTAAGTAATTCACAGTGTATTAAGCACTTTTACATACACTGTTTTGTTTCATTTTCCTAGTACAATGGTAGGAGTGGTACTATCCTATATTTGAATAGCAATTTGCAGTCTGTAAAGCACTTTAGCCCCTCATACTTCATGTAATCCTCTCAACAACCATATGAGATATTATTATTCCCACTTTATATATTAGTAAACTGAGGCTCAGAGGAGATAACTGGATTACCCAAGGTTTCTGAGCAAGAGAATGCCAGAGATTATCCCTAGTCTTTAGACTCCAAGCCCAGGCTTCGCCATGCTGATTCTAAGGACTGTGGGCACTGTGGCCAGCCATCATATGCTTCCATCTATGCTTCACTAGTGTAGAAAGGTTCAGCAGCCTGAAGAGGGAACAGGCGCAGGGCACAGACCCAGCACGACCACCTTGTGGTGCTGGAGCAGTGTCCTGGGGGTTCCTGCTACTGGGCCAGGCAGTATCTTTTAGTTGCTGGATCACAGAAAAGGTGTGTGGATGCTCAGGGTGGTGGGAGGGCCTTTGGACTGTTTATCAATTGGTATAGAAGTACAGGCCTACAATCTCTTATTTGCAATTTTGAAAGCCAAAAAAGCTCTGACAAACACTGGTCATTCCATAATGAATTTGGTCTTAATGGATGTGAGGCAACTGATAATGATATCTGCATCATATTGCTTTTCAAAACTAGATAAATTCTGAATTCTGGAACATGTCTGGATCTAGTGATTTGAGATATGGGGCTATGGACCTTATTTCACTACTTTAATGTCTGTTCCGGGGCTATAGTGCACACCAGCCTTGATTATACCTCTTACACCAGGTTCTCCAGGGAGCTGGGGGCTCCTCCCTCTAGGCAGCATTTGTAAGTAGACTCATATGTCTGGCTCTTCCACCTCCTTTTCTGTGAGCCTCTCCCCATCTCTTAGTGCACTGGGCTCCTCTGCTAATTCCTGTGGGTCTGAGGCATGCCCCACCCTACCTCTCTCTGTTCAGTGCCTGGTCTCAAAGGCAACTTTTGCTACTCCTTTCTGTGGGCATTCTTTTTCAAAACTCCCATTAGTGGTTCTACATTAAGAAGAAAATAATTGGCTCTCGTTGTGTGTTAAAGGAAAAACAGTTGACTGAATCTAAATTATACCAATGTGTGAATGATGAATAGCCACCATTTCCCAAGGGAATCTCTAATTGGTGCAATTTTGTGCAGTATGATTATGTGAAGAATTTAGGTGGAAGATCCTGTGCTGAAGAGAATAATCAGATGCGTCTTTCCCACAACTGGCAACTCCCATGTCACATCCAGCCTTTACCCAGACTTTCGGGGGTAGGACACTGACACCCTGGGTGATCACGGCTCCATCTCTCCATGTCAGGACACTGTCCAGTTTGATGCATAGCATCTTCCTAGTGCCTACCCACTGTGAGGAATGCCATCTCTGGCCTTCCTTTCTGTTCTGTTCTTGTAGGAACACTAGGAAAAGGCGGTGGCCTCTTGGCATTGGGCCAGATCAGTGATGATGTCACTGAGTTTCATTTTCACAGGAAGTGGCCTTGGTGGAATGGTGGCTTCCAGCCTGGTCATGAGGCATAGTTGTCTGCTAACAACTGTAGAAGAGTTAGAGTGAATAATCTCTGTGAATATCCTTTCCTGGAAATTACTCAATGATTAATGGAGCAAAGACTTAAGGGATAACGGTCCATGCAGATCAATATATAGATCTAAAATTCCCAAGGAGAGAGTTGATTTATGGAAGAAGGAAAACATATATCACACTTGGCAAATTTAAAATAGCTCACTTCCTGGAGAATAAATGAAAAATTAATTTCTATGCACCATCCTCCAAGTCTACTCAACTTGCTGTTGTATCAAATTTTTAAAAGTCTGATAAGATTCATACATTTTTTGATATTTTCCAGGAAGTGTTTTGGTTTCTATTCACCATCAGAAATGAAGGATGCTTCATGAAAAGGAGCAAATGTCCAATTGTTGAATCAGGACCCCCTGGTGAAAGAGCAGAGAATTATATGTCCCCCTCCCCGCTAGACCTGAAGAGTCTGCCTCTCAGTTTGGCTGAGAGTGCAGTCTGCTCATGCCTGGCTGCACCTAGCATCCTGGGAAGGTGCAGCAAAGCAGTGTTTAGCAGCATTCAACCCTGTTTTCATCCTTATTCTTCCAATATAAATGCACTGACTATCCTCACATTGATGATAATTTTTATAATCAGCCTTTTTAAAGCAGTCATTGTGAATAGAGTGTTGTGGGGGTACACAGGAGGTGATTAATTCTGACTGTTCAGGCAGGAGGCATCATTTGACTTGGGCTTTAACAGTGAAGATTTCCAGGCAGAAATGAGAAAGTGTGGGGAGAAGAAAAGAGCAGAGCAACCTGGGCCTTGGAATAGCGGGAGCAAGGCATGGGAAATCTGAGACGTATTGTGGAGAGTGTGGGAAGGCCTGACACCATTGTGTGGCTCTGGTGTCAGGCTGGCTGCTGGGTGTAGAGAGAAATGAGGCTAGAAAAGGGAGACAGGCAGGTCTGGGGACCTCCAGGGTAGACTTTATTGTGAACGAGAGAGTCATCTTCCAAGGCTTTTAAGCAGAGAAATATTATTTACTTATTTAGAATTAATTATAATAATCAATACTTAATTTTAAAAAGAGTGAGTCTGGGAGGGTATGTTTTTGAACACTAGATGACCATCTTTATATTGCAGTTGATCATTTATGAGGTGAATTATCCCTCTCCCTTGCTTTTGACTGGTTCATGCCTGCATTGAATACCCACCAGAGAGGATGAGCGAGGAAAAGCCAGGAAAGTGAGACCCAAGCTGGTTATTGCTGGCCTGCTAGTATTCCACAAAGTGTTTGGAAGAAGTAGAAACCTGATGACTACAATTTCCTGACTTAATTGGACCATCCAGTTATAAACAGAGAAGAGAATAAGGGTAGGAGATGGAATTTGGA